GAGAGATGCTCTGGCTGGGTGAAAGCAAAAAATCTGCTTCTGGATGCTCTATGTGCTGCTTTCAGAGAACCCTCAGACCTGCCAGGTCATAAAATCCCACCTTGCTGGTGGCTGCCGATGGGTCGTTACCTTCCTGCTGCATTGCTTATTGCTGCGTGTTCTCCAGTTGATCTCCATTTAGCTTAAAAAATGTCAGAAAGCTGACATTTGCTTTTGTTGGGCTGACCTCTGCTAACAAGGTCCCTGAATGAGCTCTTCGGCATCGTTAGGGCTGGCTGAGGAATAGGGGATGTTGCATTTTGCTGCAGCCTATTTGTCTTCTGCTGTTTCTCTTAGCAGTACTGGAGTCTCCTACCCTGAATTGTTCCTATTCTGATTACCCAAATCCAGAAATCCACAGGTTGGGGTAAATGGTGGGATTTCCTCTAACGCTCTGTGACGTAACAAAAAAATTGCATGGCATATATAAGGAGAAAGAAGTGGGGGAAAGAAGAAGGGCAGCACTTTTGCCTAGCAAGAAGTAAGGCTTTACAGGAAGGACCCATAAATGCGGTCGCTCCCCAGAGCTCAGAGCACTGCCTGTTCCCCACCCAGACCAAGCATTACAAGTCTGAGCTTCTTTTACTGGGTTTTGTACCTGCGTGTACAACTTCAGCTCACCGACTGAAGTGTTAGCTAAAGGAGGGGGTAAGCAGGAATTGCCCAGAGGAGGTAGGTGAGCCGTTAAGGTTAAACCCACAAAGCTGGAAAATGCTTTGGGTGGTGTGAGGCCATGCCTTGGTGGGGGTGTGGTTCTGGCAAGGGCTCGTGACTCCCATTAACTCAAGATGCTTTCTCTCCTCCTTTTAGGCTAAAAATCTTCTAGGTAAGTCAGTTCTCTGGTAGACACTTGAAAAAGGAAAGGGCTGAGCCATTGCAGGTTATAATTTATTTCTGGGGGTCCAAAGGAGAAGAACAGACTGATTTGGAGGTAGGTGATCAGTGTTGTCCTAGGCACAGACTCACTGAGGATGGGATGTTTTCCCCTAAGAAAACACTTTGTAATTTTAGCAAGTAGAAATCCAAGTGCCTGGGCTTGCATCTACATGGGGTATAGAAGGAAATATTCCCCTGCTCTATTAGGAGGGAGGGAGAGCTGCTGAGGTTGCCTGGGGACATTGGTCATTGGGAAGAGTTTCAGTTTTTAAGACTGGAAAACCCAATAATTACGTTTTGGAACTTCCTGACCTAGAAGCCTGCTGCTTTAACACGCATTTCAGTCCGGTTACAGATGCTGGTGCACAGGCAAAATGCGTAATTGGGGAGCACCAAATTGACAGCATCACAAGGAAAGGTCACTGCAGCACTGCCTTCTGCCCATTACAGAGCTCCGGGATGCGTCCTGCACTCACCGCCAGCTTCTCCCCCAGTTCCCCTCAGTGCAGCCAGGCAATGATAGATGCAGATGTCTCCTGAAATGGTTAAGCAGAAAAATGTGCGGTGATGGTTTTAGTGCGCTCTAGAGGTGGACGGGATGGATGAGGGCCTTGGAAGTACCTTTAGCAACGTTCTCCGTCTTGGTGCTCTGTGTGTACATGCAGCAGGGAGCTCTAATTGCCTACCGGATGGGTAAATTTATCTTGCGGTGTTCATTACCTCTAATAAGTTAATGTTTAGGACTGGCTGCTGGAATTTGCACTTAAAGGAAAGGATAATCAAAGAGTTCTTCCTCTGGCTCCATTATTAAATGGTTTACATAGGAGATTTCTTCAAAGATTTTTTTATAAACTCCATTTCTTCCCTTCCCATAAGAATATGTAAATAAAGAAGTGCATTGCATTTTGGGTCTGTGTGTTAAAAACAGGGCATCTGCTTAGGCCAAAGCCCTGCTGCAAGCCTCAGGCTGGCATGCAGTTGTCCAGGGTTTCTGAATAAGTACAGCTAAGAAAAGCTGGAGAGGATGAAATGGAGCAAATGTGGGGCCAGTGGAAAGCTGGGTTATCATCAGTAAAACCTCTTCCAGCAAGAGAGCAATGGGCCTTCCTCTTGTCCCTCCTCCTCTTCCACATCAGCTGAAAGCCCAACTCAGTCGAGGAGGGGTGTAGGCTCCCCAGACCTCCTGGTTTTGTACAGAGCTGGGTTGGAGTTCCCAGTAAAAGAAACAGCTTTCCTGGAAAGCTGTCTGGGAACACTGGGTCTGCTGCGCCAGAACCAAGCCTAGAGGGGGAGATGAGCAGGCAGGGGGGTGTGCAGCCCCAGGCAGCCCCTGATATGCAGGGGTCTATTCCTAAATGGAAGAGGTAGCTGGGGAGAAGGAGCTGGCAATGCAAAAATCTCAGTTTAAGATCTGAATTTAAAAGAAATAGAAAGCATCTGCATCAGTCTGTTATGAACCTTCCCTAACCCAAAGCAATTTCTGTTGCTATTAATGTGATTTTTGTGTGTGGTTAGAACTTCGGCATTTCTCTGCATGCCGTAAGTGCGCGTGGTTGGGTGTTTTGCCTCCTCGTTTCTGTGTGGCTGACTGTTCATTACGTTCATTCAGCTGTCTTCAGAGAATCTCCTGAGACTTCCTAATGTGGAGTGATGTAAGATCCTCTCCGTGTTCTCCCGGGCTCAGAGCATGTTTGGTGCTAAATGACCCATTTCGGGATCTTGCTGTAGTGTTCCCCAGTCCTGTGACTTCTGACAAAGATGCTTTTGGAAGTGATTAAATAAGTAATGGTTTAAGTCGCACGAACAAGTATCCATCGAGCAGCAGACTAAATAATTAATATTCTGAATAGCCTGTGATCTTTCCTCTGCTGTCCTCTCTATCTTGTTTGCATAAAAGTCAGTTTTGCAAATGTCATCCCAACCAATTTAGACCATGTGAGATTTGCGGCTTCACTCCCGCTGAGGTTCTGGGAGGATTTGAAAGTTTGCTCTGGGGAAGGATATTAAGTTCAAGAGCAGTGCAGTATGCGTTGGGTACAAGAAATGATAAACCAGGTGCTGGTACGTGTGTGTAATGTGGAAAGGTCCTTAAAAAAATTTTTTTAACACCCCTCTACCCAACAAATCCACTATTTCCAGTGGGCTCAGTGTGTGGGTAAATAGACATCATTTTTTTAGATGAGGCTTGTTTAGCAGTTGATATTGCAAGAACATTTTTAGGTAGCTGCTAGTTCAGGGCACACAGGACAGGAGGTAGAGGAGAGTGTACAGAGTGTTCATGAAAAGTCAAAGCTCTACTTATGGTTACTCAAGTTTGTCAAGCCATGATTTAGGTTGATGCCTCACACTTTTATGACACCTATATATTTTGATGTCATAATGTGTCTTTTCTGGCTGCCTAATTTTGTCAGTGTGTACGGTGTGCCCTTTTCCCTCCCATGAGAGACTCAAGCTATTCACTTCAACTGGTTTTAATATACTGCCACCTGAAACATGAAGCAAGCATCATGTTGATGGGTTTTGGCCAGAAACCATAGAGTAAACATCTTTATCCTCTCCTCTCCAGGCCTCTGGCAGGCTGTGCTCTTGCCAGCCAGCTCAGCAAATGCTACAAACAGTTCTGGGTCTGAAGTGCCAAAATGTGTCTTCATCCTCCCCTGGCAGCAGAGGAGTGGGGCAGCTCTGTCCAGTTCTCACCCACGAAACCCAGCAGCTCCAACTGTGTAGCAGCCCTGTCCTCTCCTGCCCTTTCTCAGTGCAGCAGATATTCTGGGAAAATCTTTATGGTGGCATGAGCATAAATGATTGTTTTTAGCGTTTCTTTAAAACATCCTATTGGAGACGTCCATTTCATGGCATCCCAAGCAATGTGCTGCTCCCAAATTAGCAGCAGCTTCTTGTATTTGTGGTGCAACTGGAGATTCTTTTTTTTTCCTTTAAGATGAGATTTCTTTGCAGCAAAAGCATTAATAGCTGTGTGAAAAGACTTCTAATTACAAATTTCAGCTCAATTACTAATTAAATCTATTGTCAAACTGAACAACTTCTTAAAAACAAATTATGGACCAAAATATCTCTTTTGTAAGTAGGTTTTTCTTACTTAGTAATTTTATTGCTTTTGTATAAGTTGTCTGCGCATGAAACAGCTGAGTTTGGCCCAAAATAAAGATGTTGCTGCATTTTAATCCAGGCAAAAACTCTGATATTAGGCTAGCACCCAGTTCCCTCCTCCATGTGGGCCATCCAGAGTTAGTTGGGGTTCCCAGGTCTGCGAAACTTTCTGCTGGATATGTTCGGGTCCTGTTGAGTTATCCCATTTTGGTTTCCTAAGGGAACAAGACTTCAGCTTGCTGTCTGTCTGGGAGCTTCCCTCAAAACTTGTAAGCTCTTTGCCACTTTTAACCAAACATCACGGCAGTCCCAAACAACTGGACTCTCCTATGAAACTGTAGATAGCCTTTGTGCTGCCGTGCCTCAGCCCACACTGAGCTTTGCATGGGCTCTTCACAAACTCCGAGCTTTGCTCGCTCTTTACTGTTTGTGGATATAATCCTGCTGCTGTAGGTGATGCTGGTTCCCAAGAGGATCCAGCAGCTATGGTGAAAGCTGCCTGTTTGACATGAGGCGTGGGCTGGTCAGTACCCAGGGCGTTCGTTGTATCTCGCAGCACACCAGAGCAGGGCCTGCAGGTCAGCGCAGCTTCACTTTTAATTTCAGCAGCAAACGCAGCGAGTGCTGGCTGATTGCAGCAATTTCTCTCTGGTCCAGCACCCTTTCTCCACCTCAGTGCAGGACCAGGAGGAGAAGAACTCCTTGGGGCGACGCGGGAAGCATCGCACCCAGTACACCATGCCCATGTCCCACCACACCACCACCCAGCCCCCAGCCCCTGCAGCCGCCTCAGGTGCCTTTGGCCGGTGGCGGTTCCCAAGAAAGATTTAAACCCCTGTAAGCATGCTACAAGGCTGCAGCTCGGGGAGGCAGCTCAGGCACCGGGAGCAGCCTGACATTGCCTTGAGAGGTGCTGGAGGCTCTGCCTGCACTTGCCGAGAGGGGGTGGGGGAAAGTGTGTCAGGCAGCGCGGCAGCCGCAGCCTCTCCTTGCGTTCAGCCCCGCTGCCGCAGCCCGGGGGCTCCCAGCATTGCTCCCCCCAACACCGGCTGCCTGATTTCCCCTTGTGCTTCAGCTGAATTCGTCCGATTTCCCCCTTTGTGCTCTTCTTCTTCTCCCTCTTCCTGAAATCCCCATGAAGGACAGAGGCGAGCCGGCAGCTCCCCCGGGGGCCGTCCCCGCCCCGGGCGTGAGGGGCCGTGAGGGACCGTGAGGCGCTGTGAGGGACCGTGAGGGGTCGCCGGCCTTGAGGGGCCGTGAGGAGCCGTGAGCGGTCTTGAGGGACCGTGAGGGGTCGTGGGGAGCCGAGAGGAGCCGTGAAGGGTCCTGGGGAGCCGTGAGGGGTCGCCCTCCTGCCGCCCCCCGTCCCTCTCAGTCACCTCCTCTCCAGCTGCAGCCTCGCCGGCCGGTCGCTCCGAGCCGGGATTTCCAGCTCCACCGCCTTCATTTTCCTATCGAAACGACCGGAGAGCCCCACTCAAGACCTTTATTTCTAAAGGATCGCAGCGGCTTTGAGTGCCTGCAAACTGGAGCGGCCAGGACGGTTTCTTTCTTTTTCTTCCTTTGGTTCCCGGGCTGGGGGGCGCTGGATGATTTCCTAGGCGACAGCAGGCATGCTGTGTGGGCTGAAAAAGGACTTGCAGTCAGACTTTGGTGAGTGAACCTGTATATATGTTATTTGCTTTTCCTCCTCTTCCAACAGTTTACTTTTGTTTGCTCTGGTTTCCTTTCACCCCCTTAAATATCGCTAACAATTCCACGCGCTCCTTTCGGCGGGGTGCGTGTGTGCGCGTTACCAATCCAAAGCTTTGCATACAAGCTGGGAATAAATTGCTTGAATTTTGAAAACCTGTCCCTGCTTCTCCAGAAAGGATTTTTGTCCTGAGAGCCCCCTCCAGGCCACCCACCCTTGGGGCTGGGAGCTGGCAGCCCCTGGCTCTGTTCTCAGGGCAGCGCTGCGGAGCCCGTGCAGCTGCCTTTATTTTTTCTTTACCAAAAGCTAAAGGTGGCTCGCCTGATTTAGGAGATCAGTGTGTGAGCGAGCTGAGCATCCAGCAGTGGTGAAAGGAGGGCTACTGGGGGGGAGAGGGCTGAGGGGCTCTGCTGACACAACCAGATCACTGCCGGCACCCCTACCTCCAGTGTCATCCACTGCTGTGCTATCAGGTATTGCAGCGTGTGCCAGAAATCTGCCATTGCAACAAGACGCTAACCCCTGTCTTAGAAACCTGGAGTGAGTTACTGTACTACAGTGGAGTGTCAGAAATCTCTTTCGTCTCTGTGCAGGAGTGGGTATGTAAGTGTAGAAAGGCACCTCTGCAGAGGGCACAGCCACCACAGCCTGGCCCCAGGCTCTCCAGATGGACGGGCTGGGTGTTTCCAGCTGGGTGCAGTGTTCCAGTACTTTGTTGCATGCTGTAGCTCGGCTTGTTGCAGCTAAATGTACTGCATGGAGCATGCTCTTCTGCTCTGATGCAAGCGTTTCCCTTCTGCAAGCAAAGATACTGGAGCTGGAAGTACAGTGGCATTTTATAATCATTTTACATTGCCTAAAGCAGTGTAGGGCTGACTTTGTACTCTCCTTGGTGTACAAATACTAGATGCCCTGAAGCATGAACCTAACTTCAGAATTTTTTTTCCCTAAATCTGAGAAGTCAACCAGGTGCAAAGCAGCTTAGCCTGGCTGTGTTGCCTAATTCCATGGGTGTTGACTAGATGCAGTGTCCACTCACCGAAGTGGCACAGCAATGAGTTGTCTGGGGGCTGGGGCTTATTTCAAAGCTGCCTGAGCCCTGGCGATGAGCCCTGGTAGGCAGCAGAAGTCCAGGCACGTGATTTAACAGGGCAGGAATGCAGCCGTTTCGTGGAAAGATCAAAAAACAGCTTGGCAGGAGCTCCTGTTACTCTTGGGGCTGAGCCATAAAATGGGCCCCAAGCTCAGAGGTGGCTGGCACCGACTGCACTGGAGGAATCTCCTGGATGCCTCCAGCCATGGAGTAGAACCTTTTGTCCAGTTCCTTGTCACCAGAGGCATCTGGTGCTTCATTCATTCAAGTCCCAGTGGTCGCAGTGTTGCTGCAAATTGTGATGTTGTTTGGGCGGTGGGTGATGGATTGAGAAATATTCTTGCTCTCAGCCCCAAACCTTTGTTGTAGGACCTTGGGTCAATGTTGTGTGTAGTTCTGCCACCAATAAGGAGATGGTGCAGTCACTGAGCTGGTGAGGGATCCTTCTTCAGAGCCTTACAGCTTGAGCTGGTGGCACTCCTGAGGACCAAGCCCATGCTCTCAGCAGCCAGATGCTGGTTCCCTCAGCATCCCGCAGATGAGGCCGTCCTTTGCACCTGCCACAGAGCAAAGAGGGATGGAGGGCAGGGTGCCCACCTTGTCTGCTGTCTGCCCTTCCTCCTTTTCTATGTCATTCCAGTGCCCAGAGAAAAGCTTTGAGGGGGACTGGTTGCAATGCATTGGGGTTGGTTTTGCTGAGGCTTGATGGGCTCTCTTGGTCACTCAGCTGTCTCAAGGTTGTGGTGTTTGTTTTTTTTCCTGGCTTTTCCATGAGACTCCTCATCTAGAAATCATCTGAGATGGAAGCAATAAAATGAGCTGGTTTCCTATCTCTTACATTAGCATTTTAAGTGTGATGGGCAAGATCAGAGGCCAGATGGATTTTTTGACAGAGGCATCCAGGAGTTCAGGAGTGCTTCCTAGGCCCGCAATTATTGGGGTTCTCATTTCTTAGCTCTCCACAAGCCATTCTCAAATATTCTCTGGTGGGACGTTTTCATAACACAGATCTTTTGTCTGTCTCTCAGAGGGGAAGAGTCAGAAAATGCAAGGGGTCATGGAAAGGTGGGGTGAATTTTCTGGTTAGAGTAAGCTCGTGTGTGGCTCTGCAATAGCGTGTTCCCAACAGAGACATGGCAATCAAATCCTTCTTGCAATCACTTCCCCGAAGTGCTTTATGGCTTTTCTGAAGTCCGGGAAGATGCTCTGTGTTTTGCTCTAGTAAACTTCATGTTCAGTGAGTCCTTGCTGCAGGATCACTGCAGGAGTGGGCAGAGTGACAGAGCTCACTGAGTCTCTTCCTGCTGCTGCTGCAGGTGACCAGCTGAGGATCCCAGCACAAACCAGCCCACGTTAAATGCTCAACTGACTGCAGCACAGGCAATTTCTGAACACTCCCCCTCCCCCCTTGTTTTTTAAATTTTAAAACCCAGTTTGTATAGAAGGCAAAAGAAAGGAAGTCAGCAGATCAGTATGTTCTTCTGTGCTTTTCCCTTCAGTGTATTTTTTTTCCTTCTGTTAGAAGCTGTGCTTTTAGTGTAATTGAGATGGAAGCAGAGCAGTGAGAGTTTCCCATGCCTTCTTCCTGAGCTTCATTCTTTATTTACAGGGTGGGAATGGCTAGGAAAAATGACTTGTTAATAGGTCTTTGCCTCCTTCTGCCTGCTGATTTTCAGGGAATCAGCTCCCCTGTTCAGTGCTGTGCTTTCTCTGCAATAGCCCCAGATCTTCCCAACTTCCCAAATAGGCAGGGGGAGAAACAGAGAAACAATATCTGAAAGGGACAGAGAACTGATGTGAGGCACTAGAATAAGACAGGAGGTAATCTTTATCTATAAACCTTCTAGGAGGAAAGATTTTATCTTTCTTATTAAAGAATTTATCGCAATAGTGCTATTTAATAAAACTCCTGCTCATCAAGCTGCTTACATCCCCTGTCAGCTTTGCCTCAGTGGCAGCAAAATGAAAGATTACGAGAAAAGGAAGCTGGTGTGCACGTACCAAGACAGACGTCCTGGGGTCTGGAGCTGAATCGCAGTGATCTTAATTTCCTTGAGCCAAAACTGGACAGAAGGTTTGAAAAGTCACTGAGTTTGTCTGGACCCTTCTGCACTGAACTATTATGTAGCCATACCTACGTTATCATCCGTCCACCTTGTGTGTGAGTGAATCCATGCTGGAAACAATCTGACAGCTCCAATTCTTTCACTAGACTTAAACACTAAGGAAAGGCTTTCTGCATTTCTGCAATTTTCTTTTCTGCCTTATCTGCAGTTTTGGTGCTGCTGCTTCTTATCCTAACACAGGTGACAGATTGCTCCTTCCCTCTGTGCATCACTCTTCTCAAAGCTCCCTCCTCGCTTCTCCTTAGGGCAGACAACTCCTTCCTCCCCAACCCTCAGAGGCTGTGGTCTTCTCTGTGTCTGACCCCACTGCCCTGCCTCAGTCCTGAAGGAACTCCAGCTGGACCACGTCTGTCTTGAACAGTGGTACCCCAGTCTGGGTGCTGCATTCAAGCTGAGGCTTTTTATCAGTGCTGGGTGAAATGAAAGGATTTTACAGAGCTTGCAGGCTATGCCCATCTCTGTGTACCACCTGGGTCCTTGTTTTTCTTGTCTATGACATGGCACTGTGAAATTTTCTTTCGTTTGTGATCCACAGTATCTGAAAAGTCCACCTGCAGAACTGTCACTTAGATGTTTTCCCCCATCCTTTGTTCATTTGGTTATTCCTACCCAGTTCTGGTAACTTGTGTGCACCTCTCCTGAATTGTATGTTTGTTTTCTCGAACATATATGAATCATTCTGGTTTCAAATTTTGTTTTCCAGCCTAATTCCAGTCCCTCATAGCTGGTGCCTGTCAATGAACTTACTAGGAGCTATCTGTCAGCAGTCATCCAGGTTTTTTTATGAATATCTGGAGCCTTACCAGAGTGGGGGTGCGCCCCCACAGACCTTCATTCAATACATCCGTCCCTTCTGATTGTGCACCACTGATGAATTTTCTCAGTGTGTGGTTCCCCAATCAGTTTTGCATACACTTCATAATCATCTGTATCCTGCTTCCCAAACATGCCTATAAAAATAGCACATGAAATGGTGTCAGGAGCGTTTCTGAACTTGAGATAGAACAACTTGCCTTTTCTGTCTACCCAGAAATGCTGCTCTGCCACAGAAAGAAGTTGCGTGGGCTTCTTGTTGACTTATCTGTGGTAGCTCCGGGTTTGCAGTTAGTCCTCCCCGTTCTCTTTTAGCAGCTCACACATCGATGGGCAATTCCAGGAACTGAGGATAAGGGTATGGATTTGTCATTCTCTTGCCCCTACGCTGATATTACTTCTGTTTAGTTTTGTTTGAGTTCAGCATTGCTCTTCTGTAGTCTTGTGATATCTTAGCCATCCTCCACAGAGGCTTAAGAATACCTGCTGATGGCTTTAGGACTTGGTGGCCAGCTCTCTCAAGTCTTTTTTTTTTTTTAAAAAAACTACTTTAAATGTAAATGAACTGATCTATGCAGTGACAATGGGTTCTTGCTCTTTTCTAGAGAATTTGGCCATTCCACCAAATCACTTTTTGTGGAAGACAGTAGACAAAAGTGATGTCCTAAAACTTCTCCTGGCCTGTAGAAATGAGTTATCTATTTTTTTCTTTCAGTTCCCTCCCTTCTGTGTACGGAGGTCACAGAGGTTTCACTCTCCAAAGACTGTGCTCAGGCACAGCTCATTAGCACACACTTGTAGGCAGAAGGATGTTTTTAATGCAAAAGCTGGACAGATCTAATAAAAATGTCAGCCCTTAGTGTCAGCTGAGCAACTGCTCTTGAGCTTTTCTCTCCAGCCCTGACTTGGAGTCCACGCTTAGCTCCCT